CCCTTCCGACCCTAGAAACTATGAAACTATGAAATAAGGGCCATTCAGGCCACAGGTGGTGACCACTGGTTCATGGTACCAGCTAGGCACCAGTAGGTCTGCCAGGGTGCAAGAAACACCCCTGGGAACCATGTTGTTTTGGCTAGTGGACAGAGGACCCAGCAATCAAGAGAGATAAGTCAGGTTAGGCAAAGCACTGGTGAGGGCACTCTGGGACTCGGGGGCAGCCTCTCAATTAACATCACGGAACATCAAGGGAACATCAAATTACTATTCTAAAAAAACCCAACTCATCTATCTGTGTATTAAAAGGGCTTATTTTTCATAGTTTAATTGTTACTAGAAATTAAAAAAGACTAGATGTGAGAACATGCCTCAGTTGAAACTCCCTCCAGGCTGCCACCTTTCCTACCTGTACACAAGGGACAGAGAGACTGTTTCAGCTACTTACTCTGTAAATCTCCTCCAGCAACAGCTTTGCACAGTTCTGACCAAGTTCTTCTGGGAGTACAGCAGCTCCCTGGCCCTGAGGGTTAGAAGCCAATTCAGCACTGAGAAAAGTGCCATTGATGGTTTCTGCAACAAGAGACAGGCCAAAACCTGGAGACCTGAAAGAGAATGACAAAACCAAAAAGATGTATTTGAAATTTAAAAGATAAAAAGCTAAACTACTCTCATTCTAACCTACCCATAAAGTCTCCAACATGCTCCCTTAGAGTAACTGGTTAGCCAACAGCATTTCAGAATTCAATCCAGCAAAACCTGTCCTTCCCACTAACCCGTACACTCTTCATACTTAATAAGCTAAAGCCTAATAAATAATTTTTAAATATTCATTTCACCCACCTTTGATTGCTGCTGTTTCTGAAGCAACTGACCTCACTAACTGTCAAAAACAAAACTAAGATTGCTTAAAGAACCATCACTTAATGCTTCTGGATTTGGCAAAAACCAGTATACAAAGTAGTCTACTGGCTGTGAAAAACAGAGAAAGCTTGGAACTGCATCTCTTGCACAAAAATGCAGGACAGTGGCTGGGACAAGACTGGGTTGTGGTAACAAACCTGCCACAAATAATATTAAACTCTGCTAATGACTTGCAACCCATTAGACGTAAGAGAGGGTGGAGCTTGTGGTACTCAATACCAGACCCATGCCATCTTTATATATAAAATCAAGGGTATATCTGTATGTATGTTTGCTTTTAACTCAAGAATGGCTGGTCCTATCTACTCTAAACTTTCCAAAAATCACTGAATACCACCTGAGGAAAATTATAGGTGGGTTTCACTTAACCCTTTTTGGTGCTTCCAGTGACTATTTAAGGGAACAATGCTTTTCACACAGACAATTATATGTGGCTTGCTCAAGAGCTGGTAGTTGAAGAGGGTTGTATGTACTGAGGTCAACAGGAAACACCATGAGCATTGTTCACAATGAAGTTCTACAATAAAGATCATTTTTGAATGTCATTTGAGATGGCAGTTCACGTTAAATATTAAATATGTTGTACTATGTTCTTTAAAATAAGTTCTCTGAAAATAAACAAACACTGCAATTACAAAAATAATTACCCGGGGAAAGAACAGGTCCTTCCGCTAGTAAAATAATAAAAGTGATGGTTAAAATTGTTGGCAGAGACCTGACACTAATCACATGTGTATCTCCAAGCTAAGAAAGCCAGAGAAAGAGGCTGAGCCAGTGCAACTAGAGAAGGAAAGGAAACTACATATACATTTCAACTGAACCAGCAACTAAAGAAGACAAAACACTAAATGTACATTTCAAGCAAAACCTGTAAAAGGTGTACTGAATACATGAAAGATGTCCTGTACGTGACATCCTCACATTTCTCCAGACAGGAATCCAATGTCTAAGGTGTTACAAATGTCTCAATCATTCATTATATGTCTGGAGTTTTATAAACAGACCATTACCATTACAAGCTATTGCAAATTTGCCCCATTAATAAACAAATACCCAAAGACCGGTCCGGTAACCAAGGCTCTAAGCATCCTGTTTAACCACTCAAGACCCATCACCTGTAATTGATTCCTAATTTCAGGGGCTGCAAGCAACACAAGTCTTCACATCTAGACAAATCAAAAACCAGGATGCAGGCAATTTAACATTTCTAGTAAGATGATCACCCTCCTTTTCCTCCCTGTTTTGTTCGGACTTCAAGTGGCCACCCACCAAAGAAAAAATGCTTTGAAGCTATACAATTAAACAGTATAAGAACTAAGCAGATTTGCCAGCAATGTGCGTAGTCCTGGAAAGATCAAGAAGCCATACTGTACCACCCAGCTCACGAGTAAAGGCTGCAAGACTGAACCAGTTTTCCTGCTTACACTGGTAAGAAAACACTACTGCAGCTAAGATAACACAAGGACTAATAGCTCATTTTATACTGGGAAAGAGTCTTTTTTTTATTATTTAGCTTTGTAGCTTGTTGGTAGTTATTAAAGCAAGCCTTTCTGCTATTCATCAACCGAGGGATGTGTCAATTCTTAGCACTAGGTTTAAAAACCCGTTTAAGTGCAACAGTCGACAGAGCTTTATCTCATCTTACTTGCTAGCTCTTTCCCCTTTCAGCTCAAAACAGGTGCAAACATCCTTTCTAGCAAGAATTTCAGAATTTATTCTTTGACAGAATTCCTGTGCTGCAAAACCCAGAACAATGCCAAGATGCAATACTACCTTGTCTTACTGTGGATGTCAGAGGTGGGATTTTGTCTTCCTTGAAATCCACAAACTACTAAGTCCAGTTTTACCAAGAAGTCCAAACCATACATTAACACATTTTTTTATTCACACAGTATTTTCATTTTCAGCTTTGGGAGAATATTAAAAATTGCCAGTTCAAAACAGTTTGTTTCATTCTCCTCAAATGTAAGTTTTCCTAGCAGAGATGAACTAGGATAGTGTCACTAGTTTCCCTTTTCCAATAATACAGTCTTCTAATCAGAAAGGTCCAAACTTAAATTCAGTAAAATTGACCTAACAGCCAGCAAAACTGTCACACTAGGCACAAGTTGGTACATGCAAACTATCAGTATTTGAGCATAGAAGCATATGCTCTTCAATGCTTCCAGGGCTCTGACAGAACTCCAAATTCTGTACCGTTGGCTGGTGCAGTACACTCAATATATGCAACATACACAAAATACAGCATCACAAATGGCATTAAAGATGATTTTTACCACATGCAGTTCCCAATCCACAAAAAAAGCAACTAGAATGCAAATGATCTATTTCAGATGCCCAATCATGACTGCAGTTAAGGATCTTGACAGCAAATTCACATTTCCCCCACTCCCAGCACAACTTGTGTTTCAAAGTCAAGAATTCTTCATTGACAACCTGAAGCACACGCATTCATTAGAAAGGTGTATGATACTTTTTCACTCTTCCTTTAATAACAAATCCTAAGCACTCATGAAAATCTTTGCTTTCAAATAAAGCATCATCAATATTAAAAGACTGAGAAATACTCGTATGGATAGCTGGAACTACATTGCATCACTGACAGTACTTTCTCGTCCTAAAACCCTGCCATTTTTACACATGCAAGCACCACAGCACCGGGTGCTTTGAAAAGCACCTGGCACTGAGACGCTTGCAGTTGTATAAGCAGTGAAATGAGCATCAGCACTGAGAAAATGGTAGCAGCGTGCTTTTGAACTAACACACATC